TCCGTCCGTAGATTCTAGATAGAAATCTATTAAGAATTTATGTCAATAATGAGCTTCTTTTCTAAACAATTTCAGGCCTTAATTATTTGTATACAAATCTTTGATTTTTAGCAATCGCATTTCCCAAATCAGGATATAATTTAATTTAAAAACAATAATCGCGTAATTTTAGTTTCTTACGCTGACTATAAGTAAAATATAACACAATACATTTTCACCCAGTGGTATGGGTCCAGCTGGCCGAGATGATAGTATAATTGTTGTGCGGGTGGTTCAATTTTGATGCACATTATGTCAATTTCCTTTTTTAAATTTTCCCTTACAGATAATGCACAGCGATAAATCACAAAACACACGATTGGTTCTAATAGATTATTATTAGTTTGACGTTAGCTTCAATAATTTATTTATTTAATATTAAAATGAGGTTCCAGCTTAGAAAATATTATAGAAAGAAATCGATGTTTTTGAAAGATTAAAAAACATGCAAGCTTATGTGTGACTTCTTTTTAGATGTGAATGATAAATTTGCCTTTCGGGACACGGGCCAGGTGAAGTAGAGTTCACCTGTTTATGTGACCTCTGCATATGAATGGATAGTGCGGTCATACCCATGCTCAGCCGAAATGGGTGTTTTGAAAAGACAAAAACATGTTGACTGGGGTGTTTTTTTTATTGTGGTGTCTGACTTTTTGTGACGATGTTTGACAGTGAGGTTAGTGTGATGGGGGGTTTATATATAATTTCTTTATATTCGAGTCGGCAAAGCTCATGGTTCTTCTTCTTCTTCTTCTTCTTCGTTCTTAATTGATAGTGTTGAAGGGGATCGAGATTTATCTGCCAGTGGGTTTGAACTCGAGACTTTGTTCGAATTTATCGCCGACCCGCTCATGGTTGATAAATTCGAAAAAAGTCAAACACACAAAAAAAACACCAACAAACAAAACATCAAACAAGCATAGAAAAAAACACACTAAAACAACGAAACAAATCGAAACAAAAAACACCCAGCTAAGTTACAACCGTAGCCTCCACTGTAAATTCTCGTCCTGACGAAAACAATAAAAGAAAAAAAAAACGACGAGCAAGCCCGGCCGGTCACTTTTAAACCACTTTACCGGAAGGACAAATCCACACCGGAAAGAAAATTATGAACTATCATTGACACTATCATACAGTACCAGAGGCGTATCCAGGTTTTCGGAGTAGGGGTAGCGAAAATAGCACAAAAAAAAAAAAAGGCGCCAGGTTTTCGGTGTAGGGGTAGCGAAAATAGCAAAAAAAAAAGGCGCCGAATTTGTAACATATCTTCTATATAAGTGTATATATATATATATATATATATATATATATATATATATATATATATATATATATAAAACTGTATCTGTATATCTAAATCTGTCTGTCCGTCCGTCTGTCTGCCGGCCGGCCGACCGGTCAGTCGGTCGATCGGTCGGTCGGCCATCCGGTCCGCCAGCCTGCCTGCCTGCCTATCTATCTATCTATCTATCTATCTATCTATCTATCTATCTATCTATCTATCTATCTATCTATCTATCTATCTATCTATCTATCTATCTATCTATCTATCTATCTATCTATCTATCTATCTATCTATCTATCTATCTATCTATCTATCTATCTATCTACCTACCTACCTACCTACCTACCTACCTACCTACCTATATATATATATATATATATATATATATATATATTAGCTGTATGTTATTGCTTCGCTATGATGTAAAATAAATTTAATGTAGCACTCTAAACAAATAAAAAACCACACAAGGTAGGCCGACAAAACAAAAAAATGTGTATATATATATATATATATATATATATATATATATATATATATATATATATATATATACTACAACCAAAAACAATGAACGCAGCATAATCTGTTTCGTAATCCTTGTAAAACAAGTTAATAAAAAGTCTAGTGACAATTTAAGCGCAATTTTCTTAATTAATTTTTTTGTGACCGAACGAAAGGATATTTTTGAAAACTTTCTTCAGCAATATTGCTCTAAATTATGGCAGGAATCGATTGGTAAATGTTTCAAGTCGCTAAGTGGTCTGGTTGCCGAAATATGGGCAAAAAACTGCATTTTTTTTTAGATTTTTTGGCTTTTCCGGGAAATCCAGGAAGGAATTCCGGGAATTTTTTGGCCCACAAACATCCTCGGAACTTGCTTAACATATTTGCTTTTGGAACTAGTCCTCGATATTGCTCGTTGAGGAGGAGATACGACTTAAAGCTGCGGACACACATCCATCCATCCATCCATCCATCCATCCAGAAATAACGAATTAATAATCGCAATTGTCAGTATGGAAATTGCGCTAAAAATTACACAATAATTTCTGGGACATTTACTAAGACAAGCGAAAATGGGAAATAATCAATATATTAATATAAATATGTATATGTCTACACATATTATTATAAATATCAAAACAAATCAATAATTACCTAAGAATCTAATAAAGTAGCTTAACACTATTCGTTTTTTTTTTTAAAAATATTTTGTCTACAATCAGAATTAAATATATTGTCATCATAAATGCTAAAGTATTATACCATAATGAAAGTTTATTAAAAAAGAGTTGGTATAAAAAACAGCTTTTCTTTGTAATAGTAAATCATTCGGAATAATAGCCAACATATTAATACTAATAGTTTCGCTGTCTGTCTATCTATCTATCTGTCTGACAAGAACGCTATAGAGAAAACACAAGCAAATTAAAAACATGCATAGTAATTCGAAAAACGAAGTATGACGCGGTCACATTTAGCACAGAGTAGAAAATAATCTCAAGCCGGATAGTGCACACATTACTATGACGTCATTGATTATCGAGTAAACATTCAATACAAAGGCAATTTGGTCTAATCTAAGTGGTTTGCGTGAAGAGTTTCTTTCATACAATTCTTCGGGTAGGGGCGAAGCCCCACCCCCGCGTAAGAACGTCTGAGCCCCCCCCCCCCCCCTCCCCAACTCAAAAGAAATTTCCTCATCGATACTCTATAATAAAATTACCGCCTAATTAATGTGTCTAATCTAAAAAGTGGTTTTCTTGCAATTTCTTTAATGCAATTCTTCGCGTAGTGGCTATGCGCGACACCAGTGTTTCTTTCAGACTTTTTCCTCCACGGAGAGGGGTGAGGGTACTTGAAATTTTCGGGGGCGGGGGGTAGAATTTTCGAGGAGGGGGCGGACACTGGAAAAAGTATATAATTATATTTCGTTGAATGGGACGGTAGACATGTTTTTTTAGGGGGGGTGGGGGGGGGGGGGTGGAGGTGGGGGGGGGGGGTGGGGGGTGGGGTGGTTTTAGTTTAGACTTTTTCCTCCCCGGAGAGGGGTGGGGGTACTTGAAATTTTCGGTGGCGGGGATAGAATTTTCGGGGAGGGGGCGGGCACTGGGAAAAGTATATAATTATATTTCGTTGAATGGGACGGTAGACATGTTTTTTTTTGGGGGTGGGGGGGGGGGGGTGGGGGTGGGGGGGGTGTGTGTGTGGGGGGGGGGGGGTGGTTTTAGTTTAGAGAAAAGAGACAGCACTATCAGCCTAGCGCCCGTTGTATCCTTCCTCAACGGGCCATTTTTCTCGTAATTAAAATATCCGTCTTACATTTCAGATCATGCACTTTTTAATAAGCATCTGACTTTTAGTGTTCTTTAAAAATACTTTTTTAACATAATGAGAAGGTATGGGTTAGATCACTGTATTGCTCGCATGTATACTGATTCAAAAATAGATTTGAATAAATAGCGGATAATTAACTGTTCGATCAGTGTTAGTTTAAATTGAGTTGTTGTTTCTTTCCAATATAGCATTATTCAATTATAATATAGATCTAGATCTAGTAACTAAAATAATGATTAATAGAAAGTTGATACTGTTTCATATAATTTGTAATCGTAATCAAACTGTCATAATACTACTACTTCATCGAGATGACGTTGTTGACCTTGTCAAAATTTCTCCACCGCTACGCAGTTCGCCCATAAGTAAATTTAAATAGAGGTGCCACATTAGTTGTTTTTGTGTCTGTATTGTAATTTAAAAAAAATAAATTACACGATTTAAACTGTATATATAAAGTAATTTTGTTTGAAGTTTTATATGTAACATTTTCTAATTCAATTATTTGTAAGCAAATACATTATATAGTAGCCTTAAACTTAACACCCCTCTTGCCAAGTGATACTACCCGTAGAGGTTTTTTTAAACATTGCAATGCATCGTAATGGTTATTTTTAGAATGACAAACTGATACAGCTGCTAATATGTGTTGTAAACGTTGACTCTACTAGTCTATTACTGTTATAATTAATTTCTGCATGAAATAAATCTTGTGATTTGCATAGATGTGCCGACATAAGATACATTTTTAACAAATATCAATGTTTAAAACTTTGAGTTTTAAAAGTTTCCAAAAAGACGCCACATTGCTAAAAATGGCCAGAGGGGGAGCAGCAGCTCCCCCTGCTGCCCCCCCCCCCCCCTGCACACGCTACTGTACAGAACATTCGTAAAAATAATAATTTCTCCCGCTCACACTAAGAAGAGGTATTTACTTCAACTCGTCACATTAAGTCGAATTAATTCATGTTGCCATTCACTGTGGCCTAAATTATTAGTAGTCGATTTTGAAAATAAAAGTTAGCTAAAATAATAGCAAGCGTTTTTTTTAAACAACCATGATGCTTATTCAAGTAGTAAACCATACACATTTCATCTAACTGTCCAGTGAATATTTGCCTTGATTGTAAATCGAAATAAACATAATATCGTAAGATAAACCCCAACGTAATTGCCAATATTGCTATATTTTTAAAACCCTGATACTAAACTTATTAGTTTGGTTGTTTAGTATGTTAATGTGTATGCATTTGTGTATGCAATACTGTATTAAAACACGTTGGATAATTTCTAAAAGAAAGCGGTTGTCTCAAATATTTTTATAACGATACAGTTGTAGGTAGTCTGCACGGTCATTTCTATGATTTGTTGACAATCTTAGACCGACCAAACCTTGTGCCTGACGAGAAGTATGTTTTTCTAGGATCGTATGTACACGGTGGAATGTTTGGATTTGAGGTGAGTGATTTATATCTTTAGATCTCCTTATCAAGACGTACGCTATGAAACGTATGAAATTTTCTTAGCAAAAACGAATACAAATTACTTTTTAAAAACAACATAAATACCATTGAACAGCCGGGTTTTTACAAGCTTTTATTTTAACTCACTTCCTATGTCTGTCGTCAGTCTAGATCGAAACGCCGGAGCGAAAATTCTGACACTTCTGACAGATACGGTTCGTAATTAGTACGTGGGTCAAGACATGAAGACAATGCATCGTGACATTCAATTTGACTTAATTGGATGCATAATTAATTTTTTATGAATTTATAAAAATTTGGACCGAATTAGTAGGCAGTTCCATCCACACGCGTCATCACGGCCGTTTTGGGCGTGGAGCGAGGGGGGCTCTACGTCAAAAGCGCGTCATCACGTTCAATAGACTGGCGATGGTCTTTAGTCGGGTCAGCAGTCTAGTTCTTTACCACTGGACTTCGTCATTCCATAATACTTTACTGAAACTTGAGTTATAAATTTGACAATAGTTTTAGTCATGTAACTATTGTAAATAAAAGATGTAAAGTACTGGAAAAAAAGTATTCATAAAAAACGTTTTAGTAACAAGCTTTTATGTAATAAAGCACTAAAAAAGTAGAAAACAAATTATACACTACTAATACTATTTAAATAACTATGAAGAAAAGCGTGGATCTCTTCCTAAATATTAGTCACTACCATTTAAATTACTATAAAGAAAAGCGTGGGTCACTTAAGTATCTATTGGATACCTTCATTAATATTTAGGAAGAGACCCACGCTTTTCTTTATAGTTATATAAATAGTAGTGTATAATTTATTTTCTACTTTTTAGTGCATTATTACATAAAAGCTTGTTATTAAAACTTTTTGTATGAATTAGTTTTTAACGGATTGATTTAAGTCTCTTAATGAGTGTGTGCATTTAATATGGTGTTGTGTTGACTAATAATGTAGGAATATATATTATTTAGTTTTTCTAATTGGTACTGATTGCCTGTTATTTTAAATGTGTCGGGCTTTTAGCTATTTAGTTATTTCTTTGCTTTGTCACTAATATCTTTCAGCGTGTAGTAAAGCACATTGCGTTTGGACCAAATATCTATTTTATAAAATATTTTTCTCAAACAAGTATACATTAAAATATATGAAATACATAGGCCTATAATTCACGTGTAACGAGTACAGACGGCTGGTAATACATAACCATTAATAGAATAGGGATTATTTTACTTTTTACCTTTAGCCAATTACCTATAACCCTTGTACTTTTTAACCTTTAATATTCACCAGTCATCCTTTATCTTCTGCCTTTCACCTTTTACATCACCCTTATCTTAATCTCCTGACACTAAATGTACACCTAGCCATGTTTTTTTAAAAATATTTTTAACAATATACCTGGTGACAGGACAAATGATCTCTCAGACAAAATATCTCTCGGACAAATGATCTCAGGACAAATAATATCATGGACAAATCATCTCCGACAAAATATCTTAAACAAAATATCTCATTATGCATTACTACACCTTTCATCCGCAGTAGCGTAGCGAGGGGGGGGGGGGGGGGGAGGGGGGGACACATATGTCCCTGGGCGCCGACCTTAGGGGGCGCCAAAATGGGTTGGAAAAATAAATTGAAAGGTTGAGGGGGGTGCAAATGGAAAGTTTGAGTGGGGGGGGGGTGCAAATGGAAATCTCGAGGGGGTGGTGCAAATCGAAAGTTTGAGGGGGGGGGTGCAAATCGAAAAGATTGTGCCCGGGCGCCGGGAAGGGTTGCTACGCCTCTGTTCATCCGATCGCCTTGAAAAGTTAGGATATAATTGGGAATACTCCCATGAAGGTTTCTGCGAAATGAAAATTTTAATTCCGGAGGGACAGCGCCCTGGCAGGGTACAATGCGATTTTTCTCTATTTGTGCGCTAAATAAAAATAAAAGTCGAATACGGTTTGACAATGTTCATCCGAGTGTCACGAAACTTTGTGGAGTTGATGAGAATACTCCAGGGAAGGTCTCTGCGGGAAAAAATAATTTCTTTGAGGCGGCGCCTCGTCGTCAGGGTACAATTTTTAAAAATATATAAGGTTTTAAAAATTAAAAGTCAGATTCGGTTTGGCGCCCAGAGTTCACGAGCGACTGTCGTAGCACTTGATATCCGTTGATTTGGCGTCCTACATACAGAGTCAGGGGTATACTTGACTCAACGGTAAAACTGCACCAGGCACAGCCGCCCCCACCCCATCCCCTCCGAGGCGATTGAGTGACCCGTAACCCTCAACGATTCCCCTTTAGCTTTATGGCTTTAGTTTTGTTTTTGCGAAAAAAGGCTGTACACTAACGACACGATGGGCTACAATAATTTTTTACTAAAACTTAATCTCATCTTCCGGCGCCCCAACAGGGTGCAATATGATGTTATACGACACAGGAGCGTTTTGGTCGGAGAGACAGCAGGATGTAACTTTTATGTACATTAGATACAAATTCTCCCCCGCTCGAGCTATGGCGACTACGTTCGTTTAAAAAAAAGGCTATACACTAAAGACTATATGTTATATATATATATATATATATATATATATATATATATATATATATATATATATATATATATATATATATATATATATATACATATATTCGACTACCGGCCAGTCCCTTCACTAGCATTTTAGATAACCTTATCTGTAAAGATCTATAACTAATGTGCTAATTAACCAGCACATACACAGCACTGCCCGGGGTTCGGGAATATATAAAAAAAATTAATTTAAAACCTTTTTTAAATATGAACGTTTGAGAAAATATAAGAGCAAACATAACGCGAACGTGAACGCAAACATTAACATAAACATACATACTAAAAGCTACAGATACGGCTGTGCAGTGTTTCTTCCAGACTTTTTTCTCTGGGGGCGGGGGAGAAGCACTTGAATTTTTCGCGGGGGGGGGGGGGGGGGGGGGGGGGGGGATGGACGACTAAAATTTCCGGAAGGGCGGACAGTAGTAAAAGTTTAAATTTTCTATATAAATTCTATTTCGTTGAGGAGGGGGGTAGACATTTTACGGGGGGAAAAGGAGTTTCCTAATTCCTATGCATGGTGGTCACTGAAGAGTAAATCGGAGCTCCCAACCGTTAAATAATGGTGGGGCGCTAGAAGGTGCTGCTGGTCCCAATAGGCATTTGATTATCGCATGCTTAATGTACAGCGCTCTTTAAAAAGAATGTAGACGCCATTCGGTCCTCTGACGATCCCTCCGTCCATCCATCCATTTATCAATCCTTCTATCTATTCAAACATTCAACATTAATCCATCCATCCAGTCATCAATCCATTCATCAATCCATCCATCTGTTTACCTATCAAACCTTCCATCCACTCATTCAATCATCCCTCAGTCTATCAGTCCATCTGTCCTCACCCATCCACCCACCCTTATATACTCCATAGCCATTCTAAGAGCGTAACATTATTTTTTAAAATGATTTTACATTGTTGGAATTGAAAACATAATGTGACACAACTACACCATCGCCAATAATAACTTAACCGTGAACAATTACCATTTTGCTGTCTATATGACTAATAGTCTCAAAAACACCAAATGTTTGAAGGAAATCGCTGCAGTAGATGTGGGTCAAAATCGATCTGCAAAATTTGCCACAAAAAACTTTTTGACTTATAAAAAAAAACTTTAAAAACAAACTTAGAGTCATTCAGATTTATCTTTTTTTTTTGTTATTCGTCGTTTCAGACTGTTATCTACCTATTCGCCTTAAAGATTTCCTACCCATCAAAAATATTTATGTTAAGGGGTAATGAAGACTGTCGAGTGATTGGAGATCTTCAGTTTGCTGCAGAATGTAAGTGCATTTTAAACATATTTCTAATTATATGGAGCTCTAGAAAGGATTAACTTCGATGCTCCGCAAGTAATAACTTTTTACAAGCTTTTATTTTGTTCGCAACGTCCGTTTGTTGGCTTGTTTGCTTGTGGTGTTGTGGCAAATCTTGTAACTGAACTTTGACCAATTTCTAAAGCAGCGATTTCATATGAATGAATATCTATTTCTTAATTTAATAAGACAATGAATTAGTGATTAAATTATAATTAATCGAGTTCGAATCTAAGGGGAGATAACAAGATTAAATGCTTTCGCTCCCTCGATAGATTACTATAATAACCGAAGGGGAAGCGATCACCCGATGAGCTGAGGTGTGGTTCATGCTGAATATTGTCTGGTCACGTTTGTTCGCTGGAGTGTCGATGACTTAGAGGTCGTAATCTACTCGTCAGGTTTTAACAATATTCAATATTAAAAGGGGAGATAACTAAATTTAAAAATAGCGATCTTACTATCAGCTCGCCGTAGAGGGCGAACTAGTGTCACAGTTGACTACTGTTGACTACAAAAAAGGAAAAGGGATGGTGAAGATAACCGCCCTTCACGAGCTAATGATAGTGTTTTAAAGCAAAATATATTCAGTCGCAACTAATTGAATTCACAAATGATGAATTACTGAAAAGTAGAAAATTAAACAACTTAATAGCGGCGTATGGTTACGGCGAGGGTCAGCTGGTGCTTACTATTTATGCAGATTTAACACAAATCTTTTTACTTCTTCTATAGCATAGAGCCTCAACCAAGACCTTCAATTTTATCCGGTCACCGGCTGTTAATTCTGTGGCCTCCCAAGACATGGCCGCTGTCTTCAATTCTCCAAGGAGACTCTGTCTCCAGGTCTTTAAAAATCTGTCTAAGATATTTGTTTGGATATTTCTGTGTTTGCCATGAAGACTCCCTAGTATTCTGCTTTTTATAACAAAACTGCCTTGACATTTGACTTTACTAATTTTCGTAATGTTGGAGATGACAGAATTCTTCCACACGAGTCGCAGAACGGCTCTGTTAATTCTAGAACGTATGTCCTCCTCTATGCCTCCCTATTAGCTGATCTTGCTACTGAAGTAGACACATTTCTCCAAATTATTTACATATATTGTGCCATCTATTGTTAGTGGTGCCTCTTGGTTATTGTTGGTTTTCATTACTGCTGACTTTCATTTGTTGACCCTAAGACCTACTCGCTGTGTGGTGGCTCCTAATGCGTCAAATTTTCTTGCATATCTTGCAGCCGGTGTAAGGTAGGATCAGCTGCATACTTTAGATCCTCTAATTTTTCCTTGCTTGTCCACTGTATACCTTTTCCAGAGCTGGCATAGACTGTGCGCGTCACTCAATCGAGAATCACTAGGAAGAAAAAGGTCACAATAGTTATTTTTGCCTAACACCTGTGGTGACCTGGAACTCATCCGACAGTTTCCAAGCATAGCTAAATTGGCATAAAAATCCATTGTATGGTTGCTAAAATTATTTCCATTAACTAAGAAAACTTAAGCCTAAACATAATTCAGGTACTGAAAATGCTTAGAATCAATGTGTTAAAAGTTATAAATGTCGAAAACTGAAACTTTTTTTTTGGTTTAAAGGTTAAAGTTTATTTATTTTTATGAACCCTAAATTATAACCTAATATTTCGTTTCCGTAATACAAACATTGATTGGATATACCGTAAACATGGTGGATATACCGGAACTCCGTGATCGATCATCTTAAAACCCCACATCGCAGTAATTTGTACTCAATACTTTGTCGATAAATTTAAAAAAAAACATTTTAAACACATGGCCTAGTTCTAGTTCTTCTGTTATTCTTGTTTACAGGTGTATTCAAATATAACAAACAGGTGTACAATTTTATAATGGATGCGTTGAACTACCTACCAACAGCAGCTGTGGTAAATCGAAAAGCTCTATGCGTTCACGGCGGTATCTCAGCAAAATTAAAAAGATTAGTGGAATTTTCTAAGGTCACTGAACTAGTGATATTACAATATTAATCTACTTATCATTGCTGATATTACATGTTTTGTTTTCTACAGTGCATCTTTAATGTTTATTTCCACAATTCTGGCGATACATTTACCGAGAAAAGCAGGGGAGGTTCGACTAAAGAAACGTGTAAAAAAGAATTTATATAATGTATGCGCTGCTATATGAATCTATGTGATGACTACTCCCATAATTAACACTCCAACTATAAACATGTGATGAGGACGGGAACACTCTTATTTTTCGACGACACTAAGTTAACGATATCAACAACTTCGATCATAAAATAAAAATAACTTTATTATCAAATACTAATCGAACTTGAACTACTCTACAAAATATAAGACACGTTCTTTTCCTACAATGGCTAACCCCAACTGTCTTCACTCCTGCGTCCTACGTCATCGGTAACATTGTCGCGTCACGCTCACGTCACACTCACGCCACAAATATTTTATTAAATACGCGCACATACTCTCAAATCAAATCGTCTACCGCACGGGTTCCCAAACTGGGGGTTGCGACCCCCAAGGGGTCGCGAGGGGCTTTCTGGGGGGGTCGCCAACTGGTATACTGAACTTTAGCAATGAGAAACTAAACTTGAATATTTAGAAGAATATCTGAAATGTGGCTTTACTAACTTCACTGGAAATGGAATAGAGAAGAAACAATACATACTGTGCAAAGTTGTTCTCAGTCAGGAAACCTTCTAAACTAAAACTTCATTTTGCGACGAGTCATTCGGAACATACCAAAAAAGATACGAAGCACTTTCGTCGGCGTGTAGCTAGTCGCAAACGTCAGAGACGTGATCGAACAGGATGTTTTCACCAAGGAAACACAACATTAGTGCAAGCATCATATAAAGTCGCGATCGAAATTGCCAAGCAAAAGATAAATCAACAATCCATGCATGTTGAAGATGGTGAAAATAATTCTTAGGGATTCCAGGGCAGTAAAGATGCAACAAATATCTGTAAAAGAACACATTTTGAATGCAATCAAGCCTTCTTCATTGTGTACTTTTCAAGTTGATGAATCAACAGACGTGAGTTCGTGTTCGCAGTAGCTTGTCTGTGTAAAATATATTCATTCAGATTATAGCAAAGAAGAGTTGCTATTTTGTAAAGATAGCATGGAGCAAATAAATACGTTTTTTGAAACTGGAGGATTAAATGGGTTAGTAAAAGATTGAGCTCCCTAACCAAGGGGACTACGTGCTTCACCGGTATGTCCTCGCCAGCAAGACTCTTCCGACTCAATCGCTAATAAAAGTCGTAAATTATAATAAATCCGCAGTCCCTAAAGAACTGCGCAAAGACATTAATAAAGATCACCAGGTTCTGCTTTTCTACTCTAAAGTACACTGGCAGTCAAACGAATGTTTTTTTTAATTGAAAGATGAAATCAAGTTGTTCTTGGAAGTGCAACGGAAATAAGACCTTTTGATATACTTTAACGACAAAGAGTGGTTGGAGGGAGCAGAGTTTCTTCCAGGCTTCATTGCGGGGGGGGGGGGGGGGGGGGGGGGGGCTGTCCCCTCCACCTCCTCCCCCCCGAACGAAATGGAATTTATGTAGGAAATATATACTTTTAACAGTGTCCTCCTCTTAGGCACATATAGTCAGCCACTTCACCAAAAATTTCAGGTGCCCCCTCCCCGGAGAAAAAATCTGGAAGAAACACTGGGAGAGAGTATCACACATAAGCTTAACCTGAAGCTCCTGTGAAAATGAACGAATATTGTTTCTTTTCATGATAGTCTCGGATTTTTTTTATCAAAGGTGCAAAATTGGAGACGAAAATAAATCTTGGAAATATTGAAATTTGAGAAACTCAGTGTGGTAGATGAATCTGATTGTGAGATAAATAAAAAGTTCAAAGAAGAGATTTCAGGGCATCTTGCTTCCCTGAGCTGAAAAAAAGAAGAATCTGCATTGACACTTAAGCCATTTTCTGCTTCGCTTGATGTTGCCAGCATTCCCGATGAATTACAAGATGAATTCTTTGATTTGAGGAATGATTCCACTTAAGATGGCGTTAACTAAAACTTAACCGCGAATGTTTAGTTAATAGCATGCAATTTTACTCATCGTATTAAAACAGTTATCAAGAATAATTCATATAGAAAGTCTACTAGAAAATATTATTTTAGTGCTTATTATTGTCCTTACTAATTTCGACTTTTTAATTCTATGGGGGTCGCGGGTCACTAAATTTTTATAAAAGGGGGTCGCCACACGAAATAGTTTGGGAACCACTGGTCTACCGTCAAGTTTACACCGTGCTTAGTAATCTCTACTAATTCTATCTTCTCTATGACATTCCCTCATCCCTACAAATAAAAAAAATCACTAATGGGGGCGAGTGAGTTGACGAGAATCCTTCCATCATGTTGACATGGAATAAAAACGTACTTTATACAAGCTTCCTTGAAGGAAGGAAGGAAGGAAGGAAGGAAGGAAGGAAGGAAGGAAGGAAGGAAGGAAGGAAGGAAGGAAGGAAGGAAGGAAGGAAGGAAGGAAGGAAGGAAGGAAGGGAGGGAGGGAGGGAGGGAAGGAAGGAGGGAGGGAGGAAGGAAGGAAGGAAGCCAGCCGGCTTATATTATAGATGTGTTAGACTATAAGCTATTTGGTTGTCGCTTTGTTACTTATATCATTCAACTTGTTTTAAAGCACATTGCGTTTTGGCCAATAACTATTTTATAAAATATATTTCTCAAACAAGTAGGCCTGCAGGGCCAGTGCTACATAAGGCGAACTAGGCGGTCGCCTAGGGCGCTATCCATAGGGGGCGTAAAAATGTGTAATCGCCATTAT